CTCATAAGAAGATATTCTGAAGAATGCTGATAACCAAACATTGCTGGTAGCCATTGACTTAAAAAAATACTATGTAAGTCAATAGGGCCTTTCGCACCGCTTTAGTTCCAGAACTAAATGTAAAGTACTAAAGTACTGGGACGATTTTGCGCGAACTATTTCCCAGTACCATTTAAAGGGTTGCATTCGCACCGAGAGTGTGTACTAAGAAGTGACGTAAACCGGTCGACAGCAACGTCATTTGTGCGCGGCGTTCAACAACAGAAACAAAGAAGAACAACGTTAACAGCAGGAGGATGGAGGATGCTGTGATCGGAGCTGTGTTTTTGTTGTGTCTCGCGGGTTTCACAATAATGGACATGGAATGTCGACGTATACGTAAAGCGATTGAAAGAACGGAAAGGAGGACTAAGAATCTCCAACGACAACTGGCAGTGCTACATTTGCTACAAGTGCCTGCACTTCAGCGTCCGTCCATCTATCGCTGTTCTCCATACTTGCGAAATAAGTTGACAATGTTTACAGTATGTTTACACGGCGTTTTAAATCATGGCGGGTGAGGGCGTTTTCATACGCGTTTGGCCAATTAATGTCTACTTACGTCACAATTAGTACCAGTTGTGCTGGTTAGACCCTGCTCCGGAGTAGGAGCTAATTTGGTTCTCGAAAAAGGCAGTCCGGTACTAAAATCGCACCCAGTTCCGGCGGTGAGAAAACGCCAAAGAGTGGGTATTTCCACAATTAGTTCTGGTACTATGAAAAGGTTCCCGCGGTGCGAAAGGCCCTAATGGCTACTAGGAACTCTTTGGTTACCAACCATGTGGAAGAAAGAAAGAAACTTAAGCAGGTTTGGAACAACATGAGGGAGAGTAAATGATGACAGACTTTTCATTTTGGGGTGAAAAGAAGATATTTTGGGGAAACATCTGTTTTTTGGCCATGCAATGGAACACAATGGGAACCAAAATGATTTGATTACCAACATTCTTCAGCAGAAGAAAGAAAGTCTTACACTTTTGAAACATGACTAAATTATGGAGGAGAAGAAGAAATAAAAAATATTGGGAGGGAACTATCCCTTTATCTTAAAGAGGTGTGTTGCAACTGGTTGCAGGCCTTTGATGGAGCAGAAGAGCTTGATTTCTACAGGACCAGAGCACTTCCACAGCACTGAACCAGCTAGTGTTTCTGACTAAACAAGCGTTCGCACCTGAACGCTGAAATAGTTCAGACTTTGATGCACTTCAGCATGATTGTGTGTGGGTGGGGACTGCAAAGGTAAGCATTTTTTCTAAGAACAAAAAGAGCACATTTACAGCAAGCCTGAACCCCAGCGGCGTCTTCATGAGAAAGAGAACATCAACATGAGCAAGTGATGGCGCTGGCTGCTGCATGTGAGCATCAGCAGGGTCAAAGGATTTCCTGAAATCAACAGATGTTTATGAGATCACTGGCTGTTCCCAGCTTATAAAGGGGCGTGGGGCTGTGTGCAAAACGTAATGCACAGGATGTGATCTCTTGCCATAACAACACCCTGATTTTAATACTCAGTATTTGCAACACTGTCAATAACGCTTCAAATACGGCCCAACACAATTCTCCAGCTCTGACAGCACGACGACACTTATAACACACGTTTTGATGCTCTTCACGACGTCAGTTAATCTGCAATCGTGTTTATGTCGTATCTGATGCTTTTCGGTCATGATTTGATGATTTGTTTTCATTTTCAGGTATCGCCACGGGATAGGCATTATGACTGAATTATCGCAGCTTTTATTTACGAACAATGCACGTAAAAGCATCATCGGAAATATGTTTTTGTGTGGTTGATGCTAAAGCCTGGTGATTTCATTACAGACGCAGCTGGCTCGCGCATTAGCATCAGGCCTGTGATAACATCAGTCGTGATCCGCATCTTGGACACCCTTCGATGGGTTTGTAACTACTCTGCGATATGGGATGAATGCTGGAAAATGACATACAGATGAAAATGAAGCGCGTCTCACCTTGTAGTGACAGAGCCGTGCAGTGGGCAGCTAGCTGCTCTCACGTCCGTTCATTTCATGAAAACAAGACGAGCAGGCGAAAGTAATCGAACCCAGAGCGGCGGCTGGGAGAAGTTGAGCGCAGAGACAATGATGGGAGTATGATCAACTTGCAAAATAAAATAAATACAATTTAATGTAGTATTTTATTGTTTTAACATTATTTATGACACCTCCTGCTTTCTTGGAGGGGATTACAACGAAAATAACAGGCTATAGAAACAATTTAATGAATTTACCAGATAATTGTGATGAAGTTTACAGTTTGCTTCCTAATGAGAACAAAGTCTATTTTTAGAATTTGACATGTCAGTTAAGTACAGCAATTTTGTTTCCATGGTAACACCAGCTTCTCTGATTGGTGGAACTTTCTTCAGAATTATGGGTAATGTAGTTCTGCACTGGGAATTAAGCTATAAATCACACCTTTACAGAAGCATATATCATCACTTAACTCCGAGCTCAGGGTGGATATGTTTTATTGCTGAAAATCAATTTGTCTATGGATAAAATTAATGGGTTTCTTACTCAAATCTGATTTTTACTCTTATTGTGGTTCCTCACATTCATTTTTCTACCAGATGTGTCTCTATCTCAAACATGAAACTATGTAAATCTATATAAAATATGTAAATCTATCTATCTATCTATTGTTACGTATCCGGTCCATGAACTTCCGTCTGCTAGCCATCAGAGGTCACCCTTTCCATTTTCATTGACTCTCGCACTACACACTGTTGCACATCACCCCGGACTACATATCCCATCATTCATTGCACTGATTGCACACAGCCCTGATTGCACACAGCACTGATTGCACACAGCTGTTTCATATCACTCATTCACTATTTAACACCCAATCTCACTCCGTTCTGGCTGCCGAGTATTGTATGCGCTTATCGCTCGCAGTGATAGCTACTCTACAGAGCCCTCTTTAGCTGCCCAGCCCAGCCCAGCCCAGCCCAGCCCAGCCTTGCCTTGCCTTGTCTTGTCTGTTTTCTCGGTTTTTGATCTGTGCCTGTTTTCCTGGATTTATCCCTTTAGTCTCGCCCTTGTGATCCTGTTCGCCAATCGTTGACCTACGCTAGCCCTAGGACTATTCTTGTGTCTTGCCCGCCATATACCTGTTTGCCACCGTTCGACCCTGCCTGTGTTTCTGACCTCCTCTGATGTTAATAAAGCTTGCATATGGATCCGCACGTCTCACGTCTTGTCAGCCCCGTAACAGAATACTCGGCCACACAAGGATCCAGCGGCTTTTCAAGTGAACATTGGCCAGGTATGGACACTGCAAGGCTGTTGTTAGCCCTCGAGCAGGGCACACGCTCGCTCGAGGATTACATTCAAGAGTATCTGGACATTGCCTATCACTCTGATCTACCAGACTGTGTGTTAATAGATGTTTTCTGTAATGGCATTAAGCAACGGCTAAGGTCTAAGCTCATACCTGAGGGTCCGCGTTCGTCACTGTGAGTTTATGGATTATGCGTTGACTGTTGGCTCTTTGTGGACTGTGGGTATCGCGGAGGAAGAACGTGATACCGTGTCTGTGCCTGAAATGGCGGCCGCACCAGAGCGCGCTCGCATGATGGCGGCGACAGCGGAGCAGTCACAGTTGATCGTCATGAGTCAAATCAAGTCTCATCTGATCTGCCAGAGCCTCGTCACGCCTCAGTTATTCAGCCAGAGTCACGTCACATTACAGCTGATCATCCAGAATCACGTCGCATCACAGCTGATCATCCAGAATCATGTCACGTCCTGTCTGTTACACCCAGATTCTCAAGGTCAGCCCTTCGGTATCCCAGTCTGGTATCCAGTGTGAGGGATGCACCGCTGGTGTCTGCACGCACCGCTGGTATCCCCAAACCCACTCACTCTAACCCTTCTATTCATGAACTCATTCCCCTGTCTGCAGCACTTCCCATATGGGGGGTTGCTTTATGGTGTATCTGGGCCACGTACTCCACCGCCGATTTGCTAGAGGCAGCGGCACCGGCTACAACATCTCCAGAGGTGGCGGCTTACGCTGCAGAACCACCCGAGGTAGCGGTGTCCGCTGCTGTGCTCCCAGAGACCATGGTATCCGCTGCAGTCTCTTCAGAGGTGGTGGCGCATGCTGCAGAACCTCCCGAAACGGCGGTGCTCGCTTCAGCTCCTTGCGTGGTGCCATCAGAGGTCACCCTTTCCATTTTCATTGACTCTCGCACTACACACTGTTGCACATCACCCCGGACTACATATCCCATCATTCATTGCACTGATTGCACACAGCCCTGATTGCACACATCCCTGATTGCACACAGCTGTTTCATATCACTCATTCACTATTTAACACCCAATCTCACTCCGTTCTGGCTGCCGAGTATTGTATGCGCTTATCGCCCGCAGTGATAGCTACTCTACAGAGCCTTCTTTAGCTTCCTAGCCCAGCCTAGTCTTGCCTTGTCTGTTTTTGATCTGTGCCTGTTTTCCTGGATTTATCCCTTTAGTCTCGCCCTTGTGATCCTGTTTGCCAATCGTTGACCTACGCTAGCCCTAGGACTATTCTTGTGTCTTGCCCGCCATATACCTGTTTACCACCGTTCGACCCTGCCTGTGTTTCTGACCTCCTCTGATGTTAATAAAGCTTGCATATGGATTCGCACGTCTCGTGTCTTGTCAGCCCCGTAACATCTATCTGTCTATCTATCTATCTATCTTGTACAGTTTCCAGATTTTAGGTATATGTGTGAGGTTAATATTTTTTAAGCACAATTGTAATGAATGTTTTTTTATAATGTTGTCACAGATCTAAACAAAATCCCTACTATAATGTCATATAGCCTTAATGAAAAATAATAGTCTGTTATTCCAATGTGTTAATTCTATGGTGTTAATGCATATCTAATGAAACTTACAAGACAAAATCAAATTAATAAGTCAAACATCCAAGACACAGAGTGTACTGTGTATGCATTCAATTTTATTGAAGGAGGAAGATATCAACTGGCAGCGTTTTACCACCTCAAAATGTACATCAAAATCGAAACACTTATTTAATCAGGATACAAAAATACACATCTCAGTGACCTCCATATTGTAATAAATAGTTAACCATGCATCTATGATAAAAAGGCACAGAAAACAGTCACTTAGTAGTCATAAAAATTACCTAGGCTACTACTTACCAAAATCATCCAGATATCAATACAAGTGACTACCGTAACATTATATCCCAATAGTGAAAACACATACACGTCAGTTGTTTAACCTTAATAAATATGCAAGTATTGTAAATATACCTATACATGTAGTCTTAAAAATGAAACTGTGCCATTGTAAACACAATGTAAACAAATGAAACTCACATCGCACTTCTCTTAACTGGATATAAATCATGTCAAAGATATGTTGCCTTGCTCTACAAATTCCCCAAATGAATTTGTTTTTGAAAAACCAGGCAGTTTACAGCTTTACGTTCGCCATCATCGATAAGCCGAATCCCACTGTCACTCACAATCCAATGAAAAACACTCAGTGGTGGCTTGAGAACTGAACTGAGGTTCATGTGATCATGTGCACATGTATTCAGTGTGGCATGAGAGGAAGACTGCACTTGTGTGATTTGAGTCTGTTGTGAACAAATGAACTATACAGAGGCACCATATACAAGGTCGATCTGCTACAGCTGTCAAACAGAGATCATGTATGGCCAATTAAACCAGGCTTCGGGGAGCTTCGTAGCATTCTTGTGTCTTTGGTCATGAGTTTAGCTAGTTGGGGAAATTACCTTTTGCAATGCGGACACTCAGAAATGCATATCTGAAAAGCATATCAGTAGGCCTACATTCAGTCGTTTTTCAGAATGCGTGGAGGTATGTGCACATAGGTTTCGATATTATATAACCGCAAACAGTTGCTATAAATGCACCATTTGATTGTCGGATCAAATGTTTATCAGATTAGTTTTTTTCTCTTACCTATTATTAAGCTCAGGTGACAATTTCTGCACCGATTTTGGAGAAAATGTCTGTGAATGGATTATAAAAAGGAATAATGTGTTATACAGAGACTGAGTGGTAGTTGAAAGGCCCAAATATTTCCTAAACGAATACGCAAGTGAAAGGGAATGTGTAAAACTTGAGGTTTTGCGGAGTTCTGCTGGCGCAGATTTCACATGGGCCTGCCATTAAACAGCCAACCTGAAATGCCTACAGGCAGATGCTGAAACCTCAGTAGGTGCTCACTACTGAGAAAAGACGAGAAGTGAGAGACATTAAGTTGCCAATTAAACCGCAACGGACAAATGACATGGATTTCTGAAAAATGCAGGCTGCAATGTTGTGCCTTTATCATGGACGCCAGTGGTTCTCAGCAGCTAGAATGCAATTAACTGTATAGTTGTGTCTAGTTATAAATAGGCTTATCAACTTTTAAAAGACAGGAGAAACTGTTTTCCTCATTTTTCATTTTGTACGTCCAGCATTATGCGCCCAATCAAACTGGACGGTATTAAGTTCGTCTTTCATTTGGTGGAAGCTAGATGTATTGCACAGATGCCAATACGGACAAGGCCAAACTACATTAAATACGGGTTCACTTACAACAAGAATAAACATGGTTTGTGCAGACCACAATGTGTTTTGTGTGGTGAATTATTGGCTGCTGAGAGCATAAAACCATCACTGACATTTAGAAAACAAACACACAAGCTATAAAAAGTGTAAATCACACTTTTACTGTTTGCGCATTCACAAAATTGTCAGTTCATGATAATATTAATGACTTTTAAGGACATTTTCTTGTTTGGCGCCATGAGATGTTGATCGCAAAATCCAGATCCTGGAGCAAAACCAGTTGAGAACCACTAATATAATCTATTATTGATTAATGAACGCTGTCGTGAATTTAGTCTCATTTTTAATCCCATCGTTTCATAATAATGCCTAAACTCTCAACGAACTCTTCAAATGTGTATTTTTCTTTTTAAAAACATCCCGTTCGGTTCCACCCAACAGACCAAACGCCATCCTCCAGGTCTGTTCTCATCCTCCATATTTGTTTGAATTCTCACTTCAGGTAAATTGTGGGTAGAATTGGATTTCTTGGTTGGGAACACCACATCTTTTCCGACACTACTCACTTTCGCTCTGTATATATATCAAGTACTACTTTGATGTTATCGAACACCCTCTAGAGGAACATTATAATATAACATAAACCTAAAATCCACTGTTATGAGTCCCGTTTGCGCTGTTGGTCGGTTTGGCTTATGTAGAACTACGTGTAGCTCCGAGCTCGAAATTTTCCATTTTGCGGAAAAAATAGAGGCACAACAGTTTTATAGTCGGTATGAGGAAACATCCAGCCGTCTAGCAAATTATCCTGGAAGCACGGTTAGACAGGATCAACAATTTGCTCATGGAAGATTTATGAATTTTGGAGAGAACATGGCATGATTTGTCTGACCCAAAGTCCACCTTAATCCAAAACCGAAAAAAAGAGGAGTGTGTGAAGTTTATCTTTTTAGTTTTCCATGGAAAAAGCTCACATAATAAAGCTTCGTAGAGAAGAAATGTATCAAAAGAAATACAATATTGCACCTTCCATAGAGTACAACAGCACTTAACGTGTAAAGGTGATTACTTAACAGAATAATTCACAAATGTGTTATGGTGCTCTATACACAAATAAATGTGTCATCTGATAATATCATGTAAGCGTTCTATTATACAAAGGCTTTACTCATAACTGGAGTTAACAGTTTAGACTTATATACAGTGCATATATTAACAAACAAACAATCTCTTATACCCTGTAATGCCACCAACCAAATGTAGATGATCCTATCATACTTGCACTGGGTTCCTGAACTCAGTAAATATCAACTATGTAAAGTTGCAGGTCAACTGCAATTTCTTATTCAAAAATCCTATTTCAACTAATGTATAATAATATGCTTTAAGCTACAAAGAGTCGCCGTGTTCATGTTTTTCCGAACCACTTCAGATTTGACCATTTTCGATGAATATTTCAAAAATTTTGGGGGGGGGTGGGGAATTAAACTTTTGAAATGTTCTTTTCGCTTTAAAAACCAGGGGACATTCGCTTTGGTACTTATTTCACCGACTTACCTAACGTCCTACTGTAAGATTAAAACATTTCTTACCAATAAAGCTCATCTGACAATAAATATGGCACATGACACTGCTTTGACACGAGGTTTCCATGCAGACAGATAAATAGAAATAAATCAGCAGTCTACTTTGACCAAAGGGATGCTTCAGTAGTAACAAATGGCATCATACTAAATTCATATAAAACTTGTTCAAGTGTTAGTTTGTACAATAAAAAACAAGACGCAGATCATGCAGTAAAACAGCTATCCAAATATAGCAAGCATACCATGCATCAGTATGTAACTGGCGAAGGAAACCCCTTTTGACCTTTCCTGGACTGCATCGCCGCACTGCGATGATTGCCGTTTGATTGCGATACACCAGCAGACTTTTTCCCGTCTCCTTAAAATGTAAACAGTGCAGAATATTGCTGACACATCACATCGCCCTGCTATTGTTGCCATCTACCGCAAGGCAAAGAGCCAGTGAGCTACTCGGAGGCCGTGTGCTCCTCTCGGTTTGGAAGTCCTGTTCTGCTACTTGATTTGGAATCTGTTTAAAGAGGCCAGAGGTCGCGTGCATGATGAGAATTGCATACCTGATTGTGCCGTTGATGCGATAAGTGAGGAATGGCTTTTCTATGGGGCTAGTCTCGGACAAAATCCTTGTCGTTTTGGCACCAAAACAAACATTTCTAGCTTTTCTACAAGCTATCCGTACAAAGATCCACAACACCCAAGTGTTTCCCACGCCGGAGCTCCCGCTTCAACTCCTCTTCGCTCACGAACGGAATGTGTGTTGACGTCTCTCACAAGTCCACCATCGAACTCTTGGCCAAGTCCTTAGTTCCCTGTAGAATTCTCTTCATATGACCCACCTTCGAGATCCCCAGATCCTAGAGGAAGCAGACAAACAGAAGTGCACTCAGAACGAGGCGTTTCCAGAGCTCACACCTTCAGGAGTTCAGCTCACGTAAAAAAGTTATGTATAAGTTGTTGTGTTACGTCCCATGTTAGAATTATGATGTGTTTTGGGTACAGTGTTTGTTTTTCCCTCCCCTTCTTTTTTTCTCTTTGTTTTTACTTTTGTTTTCAGCAGGGAGACGCGGGTACCTGAGTGGTCTAAATCTCTGTCAATCATCAAGATGCTTAGTGACGACAACGCGCGGCTTCACCATTTTTGTACTCTTTACTTGTTGCATTTAATTACTCTTTGATTCTTTTGGATTTTTGTTTTGCGGAATAAAACACTTTTATTGCACTATTGATATCATAAACCAACTAAGCTTCAGTTTAACCCAAGTTTAAACCAAGTGTTTTCAAAGCATTTTATTTTAGTGTCTTTGCTACACACGTTACAAATTATGCATAATAACAAGCAACCAATCCTAAATCACCTAACCCTAAAGCTATAGTACAGGGATCCTCAAATCTGGCCCACGAGATCCACTTTCCTGCAGAGTTTAGCTCTAACCCTAATCAAACACACCTGAGCATGCTAATCAATGTCTTCAGGATCATTAGAAAATCACAGGTAGGTGAGTTTGATCAGGGTTGGAGCTAAACTCTGCAGCGCATTGGCCCTCCAGGGCAAGATTTGAGGAACCCTGCTATAGTAAGTACAGGTTTTATTTAATATTACTCCGTACTGATTTGTTGAACTACATTGTAACAGAGACACCTTAAAATAAAGTTCAAATGTAATAAAAAATAAATAAAACACATATTAAAATAGCACTTAAATAATTTATGTCCCACGCAATACAATTTGATTGAAGAAAATGTCACATCTGTATTTTCTCTTAGACATTATTACCATTTTTACAGTAATGAATTAACAATGGTCATTTAAACACAAAATACACTTCTTAAAGGGTAAAGCTGATTTTCAACGAGCTTTGTATTACAATGTTAAATGAACAATGTGTACACTTTCTCCGTGTGACACTCGTACCGAGATGTTCCATTTATTTGATAGCAAAAGTCAGACGGATGACGTAAAATGCCTCTTTCTGCATCATCCACTGGACTTCTGACAGCTCTGGGGCTTTTGTGAAAAGTATAGATTGTTTTTGCTCACAGACAGTCGTATCGAGTCCAGTGCATTATGCGTGTTGAAGTTTCCCTACTTTTTGGCAAAAGCGAATACTACAGTTAACCCTTTAAGTAAGACTATTTTTTTTTTATTTGTAGTTAAAATATATATATATATAGGAGTCTTGAATGTATGTTTTGCAGTATTGACCATACACTTAAGTGCAATCAAAGTCAGGCATTTCCACAATCATTTTAAACTGATAATCAGTCAAACTGTCCATTTAAAATGATTATAGAAATTCCTGACTCTGGTGTCTCCATGAGCAAACTGTAATAAAACCATCTGTGTAGTAGGTTTGAGATAAAGCCACAGAAAAAGTGACATCTAGTGGCAGTCAGGCTAATCTAAATGAGGCATTACACAGATAAAAAATAGGCTACAGATTCATTTTGTTAAAGTGAGTTTCCATTTAAGCAATTTGTGTACTATATTTGCTATTATTTTAATTATATATTGTCATTATATTGGTCGTTGTCCACTCTGTTCTCTAGATATTTCTATCAGCATCGGCCATTACAACACCAATATCAGTTGATCAATAGTTAAGGAAACACAACAACCCAGGTTAACCTCGGGTTAAAACAATGCAAATGTCACAATACTGCTGAATTTGAGCTTGATTGGTTTACAGCTGAAACACTCAGATCTATTTATGTCCCAAATAAGTTTTCAAAATATGTTTGAGGACATCCCTAAAGACAGAATGAGGTTAGACCACCAGATAAATGGCAGGGGCGTTTGAAATGGGGGGACATAACAGAGGCGTAAAAATGGCACAGTCCAAGGTTCACTAGTGCTTGTGATAATAAGTGTGACCAGAGCATCTCACACATGTTCACTACACAACACTGAGCTGCTTTCACCAACCCTTTATGTAATTCTTCAACACTGGGAGGTGTGATCCATGAGCATTTATAGCACCTTTATTGAATGTATTATGATATATTTATTACTTCAACAAGTACACATGAAAGCGTCATTGAGTTTCTGGCGAGGATGTTTATAGTGATCTATCACTGTGCTATCACTGTGCTAAACTGTTTAATATATTGGACCATTCAAGTGATAATCCTAGACAGTTTCATTGTTTAACATAGCTCCACTATACAGCTAGAACCAATAAAATGTTGTAAGTGAGGTCCTGTTTATATCTCATAATTGCATCAGTCTCACAAGATCTGATCACAAATGAACAACACTAAACAGATGTAAATGGAGTCGGTTTTGGGATTTGATCACAAACGTCATGTGGAAAAAAGTTTATATATTATATTATATTATATTATAGTTCTCAACTGGTTTTGCTGGTGTTTTCTTCTATCTTACAAAGTTGATATTTCCTATTCTCACTATGCATTGTTATATGATTTTTTAAATTTGCATTTCAGACCTGCCATCGGTTTTGGGATTTGATCACAAACTTCATGTGGAAAAAAGTTTATATATTATATTATATTATATTATAGTTCTCAACTGGTTTTGCTGGTGTTTTCTCCTATCTTACAAAGTTGATATTTCCTATTCTCACTATGCATTGTTATATGATTTTTTAAATTTGCATTTCAGACCTGCCACTGTTTGTGTCACGAGACACCAGTTGAGAACGACTGTCATATACAATGACACAAATAATGCAGTTAGTGAATAAATGTGTGAAAATCATGTGAAACACATCTGAAATAGTTTCTCGACCAAAATTTCTGGCAAAAATGTTGAATAATGTTCTGTACTTGTTTTTACTGTATACCGCCTTGTCAACATGCAGTAACACTGTGATATAGTTAGTTAGTGACACTATTGAACAAAAGTTTGGGGTCAGTAAGCCTTTTTTTTTTGGATGCATAAAACTGATTAAAAAAAAATTGACAGTAGAGACATTTATAATGATTTCTATTTCAAAGTATTACGGTTTCCACAAAAATATTAAGCAGCACAACTGACAATAATCAGAAATATTTCTTGAGCTCCAAATCAGCATATTAGAACGATTTCTGAAGGATCATGTGACACTGAAGGCTGGAGTAATGGAGTGATCAATAATCAGTAAAAATGGAGTAATGGAGTAATCACAGGAATAAATTAAATTTTAAAATATGTGACCCTGGAGCACAAAACCAGCCATAAGTCGCTGGGGTATATTTGTAGCAATAGCCAACAATACATCGTATGGGTCAAAATTATCAATTTTTCTTTTATGACAAAAATCATTAGGATATTAAGTAAAGATCATGTTCCATGAAGATATTTTGTAACTTTCCTACCGTAAATATATCAAAACTTAATTTTTGATTAGTAATATGCATTGCTAAGAACTTCATTTGTACTGCTTTAAATGCGATTTTCTCAATATTTAGTTTTTTTTGCACCCTCAGATTCCAGATTTTCAAATAATTGTATCTCAACCAAATATTGTCATATATCCTAACATCAATGGAAAGCTTATTTATTCAACTTTCAGATGATGTATAAATCTCAATTTCAAAAAGTGACCCTTATGACTGGTTCTGTGGCCCAGAGTCACATATGTTCAAATATAAAACAGTTATTTTAAATTGTAATAGCATTTCACAATATTACAGTTTTTACTGTATTTTGATCAAATAAATGCAGCCTTGGTGAGCACAAGAGACTTCTTTTAAAAATCTCACAGACCCCAAACTTTTGAACGGTAGCGTAAGCACTCAAGAAATTCGAGATCTTCCCCTCACAATCATTTCCGCATGTTCCTAGCAGGTGTAAACGGGGCCTGATTTGCTCAAAGCGCTCCCCGAATCACACACACACATAAACATGTTGACTGTACTCATGAGCTACACAAATGCAGCTGCCCATCACACGACCGCATCTTCAGAGCCTAGCCGACTTAAAATAACCCTACGTGCGTCAGGTGGTTAGTCGTGTAAGTATTCGGAGACCCGAATGACACTTGCACAGAGGAAGCCAAGCAGAGCAGTGCAGCACAAAATAGCAAACAGGGTGACAGGTAAGAGGACAGAGAGAGAGTCAAAGAGCGAGATGGACAGAGAAAGAGCGTTTCGGTTGTTCTGAGGGACATCGTGAGGCACAGAAAGGGGTTGTGTGTATACCTTGAGGTCTCTCCTCTCCAGGTGCAGGAGCTCGGAGCCGCGGATGTCGTGGCGGATGAAGGTTTCTTTGTATTCTCCCAAGCTGAGCTGCTCCAGCCAGACGGCCACCTCCTCAGTGCCCCACCTCTGAACTACACAAGTACAGAGCGAGAAGCCCCCTTCAGTGTCCAACCCCCGTACACTCGCAGGACACAAGCAAACAGGGTCAGGCCAAGAGAAGGAACAAGTCAAAACAACCACAAAAGGAAAAGGGGACCAAAATCAAATCAAACAGGAAAGAGAAGACACAGAGAGAAGTGGCAGCAGCAGCTGGCAAAGAGAGGATTAAACAGGTCACTGGCACACCCGGAGGTGTTTCTGGCATGCAGGTTATCACAGTGGCACGTCCACCATCATCCCATTAAGAGCAGACACAGAGACAGGAGAGAGAGGAGGAGGAGGAGGAGGAGGAGGAGGGAATGGGAGGCTGAAGCCTGTGCGACCTAACACTCCTAAAGTCCCAAAACACTCTGTTGTTGTGGATGGCGTGTTAAATCCCCGCAGCAGACGTACACGTCAAAGCCAGGTCCAAACTACGTTCAGTTTAAGAGTGTGGACGTATGCAAATCTGTTATGACATTAAACACGCCTGAAAATGTCAAAGAATATGACTGATTATATTTTGTAAACAGGCGGAGAGCCTACTTTGATCCCTTTGCCATCATCACTACCAGAGAAGTATGTACGAAGTATGCACTGTCCTCAGGAATCTGGACTGTTTCAACAAGGATTAAAGGTGATGTGTGTAACTTTGTTTTTTTTAAGTGCAGACAGCTCCAGGAAGAATTCGTCGCTCGAGGTTAGTGCCATCAAATCTGCACTAATATATCTGTATTATTGTTATTATTATTAATTAAAATTAATTAATGAATTGATTGATAATAATAACACACATATTTTGCACATTTTTGGAGGTTTTGAAATGACTTTTTTCACCTTCTAATATAAAATCAAGAAAAACACTAAAAACAAAAACAAAATTATCCTGGGTACATTAAGTATATATTTTTTTAATTTATTTTCATTATTACTATTATTATTATTAGCATTATTAAGGATGATATTAATGTGTAAAATATACATTGATAATAATACTAATACTGATGATGATAATAATAGTAATAATACACACATTTTGCCAATTTTTGGAGGCTAAAACTTAAATGGAGTTTTTTCACCTGCTAATATGAAATCAAGAAAAACATAAAAAATACATAAAAACTAAATTATCTTGGGTATATTAAGCATATTTTAATATTTTAATTTTTTACTATTATTATTGGCATTATTAAGGATGATATTAATGTGTAAAATACACATTTCCCATTTAAAAATTATATTATTATATGTGACCCTGGAGCACAAAACCAGTCTTAAGTCGCTGGGGTATATTTGTAGCAATAGCCAAAAATACATTGTATGGGTCAAAATTATTGATTTTGCTTTTATGCCAAAAATCATTAGGATATTAAGTAAAGATCATGTTCCATGAAGATATTTTGTAAATTTCCTACCATAAATATATCAAAACTTAATTTTTGATTAGTAATATGCATTGCTAAGAACTTAATTTGGACAACTTTAAATGTGATTTTTTTCAATATTTAGATTTTTTTGCACCCTCAGATTCCAGATTTTCAAATAGTTGTATCTCGGACGAATATTGTTCTATCCTAACAAACCATAGATCAATGGAAAGCTTATTAATTCAGCGTTCAGATGGTCCAGGGTCATATATTAGTAATAATAATGTGTAAAACATACAGCATATTTTATTATTGTTTTTATTATTTTTAATACATACACAAATAAATTTTGGAGGCTAAAAAATTAAATTGTTTGAGTTTTTCACCATTTTGAAATGTCAGACAGTCTCTTCCTGTCTAAATGGTCCTGGCCAGGGTGAGCTGCAGTATAAACCAGACTTCATGAAGAAAGTCAAATGTCTGGCTACTAAAAACTTTCTATGTTGTACTCCTAATGACACTTTCCAAACATTGCTCTGTTTGTTTGAGTGGCTCAATAGTCAATGTCTGCTTCAACAAATGGGATGAGTTTGGGGCAGGACTGTCAGTTTGGCGGGAATCTGGGAAGAAGGAGTGTTTTGGACACCTGTTTGGAAAAGCATCATTATTTTATACATTTCTGTTCAGTGCTGCCAGTGACAGGAATTACACACTTCACATTTAGGCATTACACGTGTAGCACATGTGCAGTAGGGCTGCCCTCAAGTAAAGATTTTTCTGGTCGACTAGTAGTCATTCATTTTAAGCATTAGTCGACTATTAGTCACACTTTTATTAATAAACCATATAAATCATAATAATTGCTACTACATACATATTTCAGACGATAAGCCATATTTGAGGTCGATGAATGTTAGGTGAGTGTGTATGTCCTGCCCGATGTATTATGTTACCACATAGACCAGCCATTAACGATTTGTCCATCACGGACTGCATGATTTCGCCACTTCGTGTGGATTTTTTTTTCTGCGACTAAGCGACTAATCAAATTTTGGTCGGCCAAGCCTCTTCTCATCGACTAACGGTTAGTCGACTATTAGGGGGCAGCTCTAATATGCATATAAACAGCCTTTTAATTAACAGAGTAGAATAATCATGGCTGATAATAAGACATGCAAACATAAAAGAAAACCAGACTGGACACGAGAACAGCTACATATTAAGGATATAATCAAAAATTTGTAGTTGAGATAACCTCCAAACCAAAGCCGATACCTTTTTAAAAGCTCATTATCGTCAAATGTTTCTAAAATGTTTATATTCCGAGGCCATTTAGGGATAGTTTGTGGCTTTGATTTAGGAGTCCTCTTCACTACTCCTAACGTTTCACAGATTTAGCTAGTTTTAGTGTTAAAACACTTTATGAAATACTCTTAGAGCAAAAATTTAGGAGTCCTAAATTTAGGATTGACACGTCCATTATTTTTAAGATTTTCTCCTAAATCGG